AAACAATAGCTGAAAATTTCTTCAACATGTCAGATCCTCAACCACAAATCCAGGAAATTCAGAAGCTCCCAAGCAGGGTAAATGGCAGAAAAATTGTACTTATCATTCCACGCTATGAAAAATCACACATAAAGAACAGAGAGCCCAGCTGGCTGTGGAGGCACATGCCTGTATTCCCAGTGCTTGGGAGGCTGAGGCAGCCATCAGTTCAAGGCCAGCCTGAACTACATAGCCAGATCATACCTCACAAAACAAACGAACAAACAAACAACCCCCCACACACACCAAATAAAGAGCAGAAAATCTGAAAGAAGCCAGAAGAAAATCCCTTTTCCTACAGAGGAGCTGCAGTAAGAATTATACTAACCTTCCTCAAAACCTTCAAGCAAAAAGAAAACACAGAGAAACAAATTATCAGCCTAGAATTCTTGTACCCCATGGAATTATCCTTCAAGAGTGAGGCAGATACAGACTTTCTCAAACAACTTGGAAGAAATATTATTAGCATTCTTTAGAGAGAGAGAAAATGACATCAGAAATGTCTACATAAAGAAAAGAAAATCATCAAAGGCACAACTGAAGGTCTGAATTTAAAACAAAAATTTTCTTTTATACAAATATTGACAATGAGAAAAGTGAGAAACTTGGCTATTAGTCTATGGGGACTAATCCCTCCAGTGAGGAACAGATCTAATTATTCTGAAATTCCCCAAGAAATACAGAATTAAAAACAAAGCATTTGCTAATTTGAATGAGATTTTTTGTGACTCTTTAGAGAATAGGCTTAAACTTAAAAACACCGCTGGTTATTTTTCTTTAAAAACAGATGTACCACAGCATCAAAAGATACCTATTAAAGCCTCATTGCTTAGGAACCCTGCATGAAAGACTCTGAATTTCATTCTAACAGTTTGGACTTACCTTGTGGCAAATAGAAACATCCTAGACAGCCACTCTCTGGCCAATCCGATGTCATGTTCAGTCATGGGATACAAAGCCATTTCACCCTGCTAGAGCTTTTTGCACCGTTCAGAGTGACAAAGTTTCCCAAAATTTGTGTGCCCACAATTAGGAGGCTCAAATCACCTCAATCCACCGAGGGGGAGGGATTCTCACTCTTGGTCACCTATGTAAATGGGCCAGTTACAATTCAACCCCTGTTCCAAAAAGGAAAAAAGAGAAGGTGGCCCTTGTAACTTCCTGAGAACCAGCATCTTAGATGTCTGCACACAGCTCAAAAATGCCAGACTTCTATTTTGTGGGCAGGAAGAGGAGGAACAAGGGGAAAATCATCTGCTGATAAAAAGCACCAAACTGAAATCAGAAAGTTTTCTTTAAAGATCTTTTCTGCTAAACTGATACTGTCACCCACATACAGAAATGCCACTGCTTGCTAAAGTATGTGTGAATTACTTGGAAGGCTGCTGAAACAGCTGCTCTGTAACAGTCTCTCATGAGGCTTCTTAAGCAGGGAGGTCTGAGCACCAGGCTCAGGAAAGCAGAAAATGCCAGTGGGACTAACCCTGCTGCTCAATGCAGAGAGAATTAGGAGTCAAACTCTGAGCTTCTCTCACCCATTCATCTTGGTTTACTTCACAGAACAGATAACGTATCATCATGCATGGGTGAATGCCTAATAACAATCAGTTATTTTAATAAGATGACCAAGGTTGAAAGAATAAGAAGTTTATGGAGGAAAGCAGTGGCTTGGAGATCTCCAGTTGTATGCTAGAACATTTTGGCTCCTTTACCAACTCACTCAATATCCTAGCCCAGTGCTTGATGGAATTTAGGAAGAAGATCCTGTCAAGGTATGTTAGATTGTACGAATTCTTACTGATGATTAGGATAAGATAGAATTCAGAGCTGTAAGCAGGAAAGAAGGATGGGATTAGATCTGCAAGAATACTAAGCCTAAGGCCCGAAAAATGGCTCTCTAAAACTTGGTTATTTGTCTAGACTTTAAATAAATATGGACAAGAGCTTCTTCCTCTTACTCACTCCTTGTCCTTTTAAACAAGTAAGAAAATCTTTCCTATTTTCTAAATGAACAAGCATCACGACCTGCTGAACTTCAAGTTGGTTCAAGAGGTAACCTCAGCAGTTTCCAACTCCAAAACCAGTGTGCAGAGCTCTGTGACCTGTCCACTACCGAGCCCCCAGCTCAGCGTCTACAGGTCTCTAAGACAGTAAGCACATCAGAGTGCACTTCTGCTACATGAAAAAGCAACACATTAGCACCTCATTCTTCTCACACTTCAAAACAGGATTCAGACCAGAGCCAGCCTGAATAGCACCTGCTGGACAAAACTGGAATAATCTGAGCAACCAAACGAGCCAGAAATAGCGGTAGTGGCTGGTAACCCAAGGATAGAAAAAAAAATGAAAGCATTCTTCCTGATACAAATTAGTATTAGAATAAATAAATGAGGAAGGACAGTTCTTCCTCACAAAAGAATTCCAATTAATAAATGTAGAAGGGATAAAGGAAATACAAAATCATTTTTAGAATATTACAGTAATAGTTGCCACAGACAGTATTAGCTGATACAAAAATTAGTGAATAGGGTATTTGCATAGCTTCAAAGTGCTCTCCTGACAGACTTATTAATTACAAAGAGACAAACAGTATACTTACAATGGGGAAACATGGCAGACTTCTGTCACCATGCTATCAAAGCTGTCATCTCAACAAAGCCCTGCTGCCACATTGCCCCTGGTGTGATACACTAGGAAAGGTACAGTTGGAAGGAGGAACCTTGATCTAAAGCTGAGAAAGCATCAAGATGCCCTCAGACAGAAGGCATTCTCCAAAATACCTGGCCACAGATTTGACTCGCTTTTAGAAAAACAGATGCATATTGAGACCACAATGTTAAATGAAATAAATCAGATGTACAAGCTTAAATATAGTGGTTTCTCTTGTATGTGAAACCCAAATATAAATAAAACAGTAAAATAAAAGATAATAGAACAACGAGGAGATCAATCTTTTGCAAATGGCATAGAGACCAAGAGATGGGGGAGGGAAGGGAGGAAGGGAAGTAAAAAGATTAACATGTGCTACGTACATGTGCCAACTCCACACAATAAATGTGATCACTATATACTGCAAACACGTACTAATAAAAGTAAAAACTTTTTAAATGTCAAGATCATAAGAGCCAAAGAAAGAATGAGGAACCCAGGAGACTAAGGAAATACAACAAACACAAGACAAACACAGAACAGGTTCCCAGGAAAGAAAAGGAATGTTAGTGGGGAAACCAGTACAATCTGAATACTGTCTGTAGTCTGTAAGGTCTCAGAGTCTATAGTATTACCAGTTACCAATGCTAATGTCTTAGTTTTGATACTTTGCACTATGGCTATAAAAGATGTTACTATTTAAGAAAACTAGGTGGTTGGTGTTGGGAAATCTCTGGATTATTTTTACAACCTGCTGTGAGTCTACAATGGTTTAAAAAAAAAAGTAAAAATAAAACAAAAACAACAAAAAACAGGACTTAAGATGTTTCTGAATATTACTGGGCGAGGACCACTCAGGTGTCCACATTCAGTCCCACATCAGTAACATCTGGATTATTGAGACACCTTGTGGAACAGGGAAGAGTTAGGAAGTGAACTGTAATAAGGGAATCTAATTTACTAGTAGATGTGGAGACAAGACAGATACAATAAAATTCTTAGTATATACATAGAGAAAAAGGCCAAGGAAGAGGATCTGAGCAGCAGTGAGGGATGCATCACATCTAACTCATGATTTCTTACGAAGAGGACTGACTGTCCACCTGCTCCCTGTTACTCCCTTCATAGACAGTGCTGTCTGCAGTCGGCTTGGACTATGCCGATGAACACAACTGCAGCCAGTTTTAAAGACAGTTTCTTGTGGCTAGATACATATTTCAGTTCATTTGTTTGGCAACTTTTGGCAGCAATGGGGAAGTTTTTGGAGCTCAGTGCACCAGCTGCGGCACATGTGCCATAGGTTTGCCACCACTATTCTAGGGTTTGCACTGAAAGTTGTTTGAATTGTTTCAGGCTCATTCTCAAGTCTACGTGATTTATGCTGTTCACCTGCAGGCACTCTCTGTTCCTCTTGCCTTTCTAGTCCTGGTAATGGCCATGGTAGAAATGTGACTCTCTTCTCATTTTCCCCTGCCCCACTCTCACCTATTGATCCATCTAAATCCATCCCAAATCTATTTCATCTTTGGTCTCATCACCAGTGGCTTGGTTCAGATTCTTGGTCATTTTCCTCTCAAGTGAGAGGGAACTTTCTGAACTGAAGCACTGTGGCTATGGAGGGGGGGCGGGGTTGGGCCTGGTCCTGGCTCCCCAAATCTAAGCCCAGCACCTCCTGGGTGAATGTTCTGAGTGTGGCCTTATCGCACCAATGTAACAGCCCACACAATACCTCAGCATGCTCAAACACAGAGGCATTTGGCTTTACTCAGGCTTGCAACCTGGCACACACAGGGGAGTCACTGCAAATCAGGCTATTCTCAAGATTTTCCTCAGAGACAAAGAAAGAAGTTTTACACATTTTAGTTGAATGGTAAATTAATTTTGTTATACAAATTCCCTTACCACTTCCAAAATATAAAACTTTGAATAGGCCAGGCATGGTGGTGCACATCTATAAACCAAGCATTCAGCAGGCTGAGGCAGAACTGCCACAAGTTCAAAGCCCACCTAGACTATATAGTAAGACCCTGTCTCAACACCCCCCAAACCCAAAAAATTAAAGTTTGAAATACCACTTTAAATGTATAGTAATTTTAAAATAATTATGAATGTAGTTTTTAAACCATGTTTGAATCAAATTATTTGAGGGATTCCCAGATCACCTCCCAGGAACCTGAGAGTTTTCAGAAATCTGAGTCTGACCTCCTCCTTCTGCCTCACTTGTCTCTAGGCAGCCCACATCATGCCCCCAGTTCCCTCTCGGGCATTCAGCTCTTTTCGGATCGGTCAGCCCTGTACTCTGTGTCTCTTACCTGTGCTTCAGCCGGAGTTTCACCCCTCCTGACCACGATGCTTTCCTGTGCTGGGGGCCCGCGGTGAAGTGCTCTGCGCCAGAGTCACCAGGACTTGCGTGGCCTGGATCCGCACACACGTCTCTGTCCAAAACAGGAACATAAGAAGCTGAGCATGATGGTCGTGTTCAATCTCACACAAAAAACACAGGAAAATGGAGCCAGGAGGCACAAGGAAGCATGACTAAGTTCAGTGTCCTAAGAGAGAAAGTCCATAACTCAGGTCATCTGCCTTTCATGTCTATGTTACTGTATGAAGCAATAAAGTCTATTTCCTAATCACAGAAATTGATTTCTTCAGCATCTTCTAAGGAAGATACACTAACTGTTATGAACATAAACTCTACTCTAATTCAGTGTTGATAATTAAGTGAAAAATTGGACTCACTAAAACAAATGGTCAAAGTGGTTCCCTGAAATGTAGCCATGCTGCCCAGCTTCTCACTCTCATTTCGGGGGGAGTGGCTCCCAGTGTCACAGCCCACCATCCGTGGGTGGCAGCTAAGAAACTCAGGCCAGCCCTTGAGTTGGAGTTATTTCAGATTGTTTAGATTCCACTGTGCTGGGAAGCAAGCCTTTTGTGTGTCCACTTCAGTCCAGCTCCTGCCCCAGTCCCCGACGCCATTCCCATAAGTCTTTCCTCCACACTCCCAGGGAGCCACAGAAAAATTTTAAGCCCCACATCGCCAAATGTGTTCTGCCATGGGAACAGGCATACTTCTTCTCCTCAGGAGAGTCCTAGGAACCAAATTTCCAAACACTTTTCATGCCTCTTCGTTATTAGACTGTCCCCTGCCTCAGGCTTTGAAGTGGGTTTTTCACTTTGCCAAGTACAGTGTATGTTTTCAATTTCTGTCTTCAAGGGTTTTCCTAAGCCGCTGAGATCCAACCTGTGAGGCCGCCCCTCTGCATATGCCTTGCCTGGGCGGGAAAGGGATTAGTGAACAGCTGTTAGGAATAAACCCTGTCCATCTGGCCTTCTATTTCCTGGAACCCAGAGTAGAAGCCAAAGCGCTCTCTTTCTTAAACCCTAAGTCAGAAAAAAAAAAAAATCTCTTATTTTAGGGAATAGGGGAGATGACCAGGTCAACAAGGGCTTCCATTTCTAACCTAAATTTTCCTGTTTACTTTAGCTGTATAGTTGGGACACAGCTTGAGTGTGTCACCAGACCAAAGAGGACGTGGTCTTTGTGTGATGGTAGGACCTCTGACTGAAAGGACCTATGGCAGCTTAAGGCCACTGACACTTCTGCCCCTGGAGGTAAATAAAGTAGTCCTCCAGGCAGCAAGTCTGACCCCTGCATCCCTCTCTGGCTGCCTGTTTAGAGATGGGATCCCGCTCTTGTGCTCACTCCTGCCATGGTGCAGCCCTTCAGGCTCTGATGCACCCAAGAAGGTCCTCACAAGTGGCCACACCAATAGGCCTACCCAATCTTGGACACCTGGTCTCCAGAACTATGTGCTAAATCAAATTCTTTTCTTTATAAAGTTAGTCCACTTTGGGTATCTCATTACCGTAATGCAAAACTAACTTCTGTGGTATTCTATGCAAGACCACCTCCCTGTATGTATTAATTTTCTCATCAGATTTAGAATTCTTAGCTTTTCATATATTTAATATAATTTTACACTTGAAGTCAGGTTGAGCTTGTGTCATTATGTCCTAAACAGTCCCAGTCAAGCAAACTCTGATCCTCACAATATTTGTCCATAGTAAAGTAAAAATAAGATACCGATGGTACACTAGTTAGGAACAGTGCTGCTGACTGGCTTTATGATGTCCTCTTATATATGAAATAGTGTGAAGGAACAACTTACATTGAGTTGTTGAGAAACAAACACTTCAGGTGAAATATTTAGAACAGAGCCTGACTCTTACAGGACAAACGTTCAGTGAAGTAGTCATCCTTACCATGCCTATTCTGCAGAAGTTCCATGGAACTTCTTGATAACACGTATTACCTGTCTAACCTACCACCCAAGTATGATAAAGACTTAGTAGACTAATTTTTTCAGTACTGACTTACTCTAGTATGTTCATTTTAGAACCCCTTTCAGCTAACATGTAAAATAGTTGCAGGTAAAAACACCTATTTATTCTGGGAAGAACAGAAGAGCCTTAGCCAGGGAGAGTTAACACATCAAAACCTTTTACAGAATTAATAACTGAGTTATCTTCCACTAAGAATTCTCAGGGATTCCTCTAAGGCACCAACCCAATGACTACTTGGCTTAAATTGAGGGGGAAAATAGACTCTAATGTATCTTGCTATCCAATATCCAAATATAAATATTATAGAAATGGAAAAACCACTTCCAAGACTTCCCTGCCCATCAGCTGTTGGGCAGCAAGGGGAGGGCTTTTTCCTTTCCCGGTCTCCTCTGGACCCTAATGCTGAAAGAAAGCACTCAAGGCCAGGCTACAGCTTTCACACAGCCTCTGTGGCTTTTAATCATTTCCTCATTTTTTGCCTAAACCACAATTATTGGCTCTGTACTTTCTGCACAGTGGCTTGGGCAGAAGCTGAGCTCCTTTCTTTTTCATTTCCTCTTTCCTAGGACACATCCTGAGAAAGGTCCAGGGGTTCTGGTGTCACAGTGAAGGGCAAACAAATGGGAAGGAGAACTGAAGTCCAAGGAACATGGGATCATCCCACCTTTTTAAGGATTTTCTATCCATGATTCCTTGGCGGATTCCTCCATCTTGCTTTCCCAGATGTTGAGAGTTACCCCAAAACTTTTTTACAAAGATGAAAGCAAATGAGGTTTTTTTAAAAAAAAAAAAAAGATCCATTTTCTAAATGGACAAACTGAGATACAGAAGTTCTGTACTTCGGCTCAAACCACACATGGCATTATACTCCCTTGGGACTAAAACCACTGACAACCACTGACGCTTCTTCCTTTCAGCTTAGTAGTTTCAAAAATGTTCAGCATATGGCACAAATGTTACAGGCCTTAGGATGACTCACCCATATCTGCCACAGAATTGTGGCAGTGGGGCTGTCATTGAAACATTTTACTAAATAAGCTTATTTTTACCTCAGAGATATCCAAAGCTGTATTCTGGAAGCCTTGGAACCAAGGAAATAGCTGCAAGTGCAAAGTAGTGGAATGAACCACAAGGCTCCCAGCTCTGCTACTGTCGTCAGGTCCCTGGAAGTGTCCCCTCCCCTGGGCAATGATCGTATCCTTCAGGGTCCAGCCTGGACCTCATTTCTTCTGGCCAGCCTCACATGGGCAGTTGGGGCAGGGCAGGAGGTGGCCCTCAAGGTGCAGAGAGCAGCACACTACTAAGAGGCGCTTTTCCTAGCCCTCAGTTCACATTCTCTTAATTGCCCATTTGCTCGTCCCTCTTCACTTTGCAACTAAGATCAGCAGGCACCTGGCATGGACAGTTGTTCAGTCAGTATCTGAATGACGAAGTACTGCTAATGCGCGACATATCTGTTCCCGTCTTCCCTCAAATCTCCAGTTAACTCACAAGTTAACTTTCTGGCTGCTGGGGGTTGCTGTTGCTCACTGTTCTCCAGACTCAATATCACAAGTACAACATGAACTGGGAATCTAATCTGATCTGAGAAGGCTTTGGCAGAGCTAAAAAACAAACAAACAAACAAACCTACTGTGATCTACAACCATAGGAACCTGCTGTCTCACGTTTCTTTGCCCAGATAATTCAGAAACAAGAAAGCCAGGTCAGCCACCTACATACTTCTATGCTAAGTACATTCTAATACCTGATACTCATAGATCTTAAATACACACTCGCTGCATTAGTAAGTAGTATTTTAATAGAGGCCATTAACTGCTTTCTGAACTGAGTTTCAGCCAAACAAGAAGAAAAAGATCCAGATGATTCGGTTCAGTGGCTCATTTAAACACTGTAAAATTTAGGGAAGGATAGGGGAAGCAGATCAAAACACACAAGGAGCTCAGCCTACGAATGTGGCTCCCCAGATCTCTGTAGTGGTGGGTTGCTATTGAGTTTCAATTTTCCTATTTTTTCCTTTGAAAGGAGAATCGTGTCTGTTTGCTGTAGACTATTTCCACCATGGGGAAGTGCTTGGTCTTATCTGTTAGCATCAGCTATGTCTCATCCAGCAGGGGACAGCTCCCTTGCGGGCTTCTCTCTTCTAATCCTGTGCCGTTCCAGCCCACTGTCCACCTATCAGCCAGCACCTTTCAAAAACATAAAGGCATCATACCATTCCCTAGTTAAATCTTGTCATTTCCACTTGCACTTCAGATAAAATTCAAGCACCCAAACTTGGTCAAGTGGGCTGGTCCCAGCCTTCCTCCATCCTCTCCCCGGATCCCGTAACCTCATGGGCATCTCTGGAAGTTTCACATACACTTTTCCATTCAACTAGAATATTCTTCCCAGCTTACTGCCTGGCAGGCTACTACTTCATCCCAGGTCCAATATCACCTCCTTGGAGACCACCTTGCCTTATTTGAAGCAAATACTGTTTCCCTTCCTTATCAGCACAGGGCATTGTACCTAATACTGCTTTATCAGCTAGACAGAAAGCTTGGCCAGGTCAGGGTCGACATCTGGCTTAAATTCTTTAGTTTTGTTTTCACTCAGGGTCAGCGTGATGCATGGCTCATGGCAGACATACAGTACACATTTGTTACATGAACTACAAGGGGTCATACACAGAATATTTATGCAATGCTTCCAACATCTTAAAGATATTAAATGATTCACAGTACATTTTGAGGAAGGTAAGGTCTTCTCTTTCACTAGTCACTTCCTGGAAGAGGCTGCGAATCAATTTCTTTGCAAGAATAAAATTCAACCCTATCTTTTGGTTCATCTCATTGGCACGGGGTTTCTTGGGACAGAGAAAACCAGTGTTGGGGCACAAACAGCTGGCAAAACTCTGCCTGGATTTTCCTGCCATGTATTTGGAAGTAATCACAGTGACTTTTGTGATTAAGTAGGAAATGAACATTTACACACTTTGTTCAATTTGTTCTCAAAACCCCTTGGAGAAATTCCTTTGGATTCCTGCAGGGAATATATATATGTGTTTTCAGGACAAATGCCCAATTAAAAGCCACATTCTTGTTTTTCC